TCAAGAGAATTCACCTCAAAATATCACTTAGATGCTATATTTTATTGGCTTCTTTCAAATTTCTGCAACCAAATTGAGCAACAAATATGGCTTTTTTTTTTTTTTTAATACAAACGAACCAAATATAGATAAGTGACACTAGCGACAGTATCACACACTATAACACTAGCCATTTTATTTTTATATAAATATGTGTAATGTATATCGTAATAGTGATGGCCCAAAGATACGCAGCCTGAGCTTGTTACTGTGTACTGTTGGTTTGTCACAGTAACCTAAGCATGTAGGAATCAAAATTTTCTTTAGGGGTCAATATTGAACCAAAAATTTTACCTAAAAAAAATATATATATTGAACCCAAAAAAAAAAAAAATTGGTACACATGGCAAGTTAAAAGTCAAAGAGAATTGGGCAATTTACCAAGTCAAGTGTTACACAATATCATAGTATCAGCTAGGAGTATGACAATGATAGACGTTACTTCGACTTACTCCTGCGAAATTTTTACTGTATTAACATAAGACAATAAGCACATAAAATATATTAGATTGTGATTTTATATTGAATTAGGTGAATTTTATTTGGCTAATTTGTGTGTTTTAATATAGGAATGAGAAAAAAAAAACATAGTAAAACTTATCAATTATAGAATCCAAACCTTAATTTAACTCAATGATTTGAATTCAAATTCTTTTTATTTATTAAATTTTCAAATAATTAAAACTAGAAGCTAATATTTTTTACAATGAATAAGTGATCTCTTTCTCGTAAATAAAAACCCTAATTTACATAATTCACTAAAAGTTTTTTATAATTATATTTTGATTAAATTTTAAAAAGATACCCAACAAAGAAGAGATATATATATATATATATATATATATATATATATATATATATATATATATATATGTGGATGAAAATATTAATAGAAAAAAATAAATTGTAGATAGAGAAAGAAACCAATGTAATTGTTCGTTATTAATTATTTTTTCCTCCAATTGGCAATTTGTTTAGTTTGTTAAAATAAGAAACACAAATGTATAAAGAAATAAAGTGTAATATGTATTAAAATAGAGGGTATTCATGTCTTTTTAGTTATCATCTGTTTTATTCAATATACAATCTGAAACTTTAATTCGAGACGTGTAACACTACTCTATATAAATTGATTTTAATTTTTTTAAAAGTTATTTATTGTCATAAAATTATATGATATATAAGTATGTATTTTATTTTAATTATGAAAATTATAGCCTGAATGTTAGACATATATTACTATATTTACACCATGATGCCAAGATGTAAAAAAATATTTAGCATTTTTTGGTATTTGGTTATTGTAACATATTTACGAAGAAAAAAAAAAATCTAATAAAAATAATTTACCCATCAATATTCAGTAAGTGTAAAGAGTCTAAAAACAAGTTATTTTACACATCCTGTCTGATAGACTCAATCTCAATCTCGACTTAAACCTTTTTCAAACACTTAAAGATTAAAATTAAAAAATATATTTTACCTAAAGAGGAAAAATCTTTTCTTAAAAAAATATTATACGCCTAGACACACCAATTTCATTTGACTTTTCCTTATCAACAAATTTCTACACTTATAAATAGTGTGTAAACAATTCTCTACAAAATTATACATAAAAGGGTTGCATTCCTAAATTTATACATATGAAATTAAAATTAGAATTTGTTGAGTGGGGTGTGGCAGGCGCTATGTGTTACTAGGGGAGACTTATTATATATTAGATCCGGATAGGAAATGAAATAGGTATAAATGGGATGGGTGTTAATCCAACCTAATAATTTAAATTTTTGGGTCGAATTGTGAAACACCCACCCATTACAGTTAGTATTAAAACTAAACCCACTTCTTGATTCGGTGTCATGCCAAGCGCTCGACCTGAAAAGAGTCTTAGTGTGCCACCAGGATAGGCAGGGTGGCCCGACCTCAACGAGAGCATTGTAAGTTTAGGCGGGGGAGAATGCTATAAAGAAAGACTTGTACCACATCGGATCTGGATGTGGAGTGAAATGGGTATAAATGAGTTGGGTGTTAACTCCACCTAATAGTTTAAGCTTTTGGATTGGATCGTAATCCGTCACACTAGGCCTATTTGTCTCTAAATTTACCATCTGGTACAGGAAAATTTATTAGGTGATCCTGGACTTAAAGAAAGTTTTGATTGTACTGAATTACATTATCCAAGACCGTATAGTAAAAATGTGCTCTAATCTCTCATCTCAAGTTTTAGTATTGTTGTAATAAAGCTGTGTTTTGTGCTTTGTTTGATTGGTAGGAAGGAAGGAACATGTATGGAAATAAAATAGGGGTATAGATGATCTATATAAGGAAATAAATGATAATATGAAGAATGTATATTCCTTTTTTAAAATTTTAAATTAAATTTTAAAATATTATAGAATGTATATATTGGGAAGAAAGTGAACTATTATAGAAATTTTAAATTAAATATTATCATAGATTATACAAGTTTTAAATTATAGTACTATCCTCTATTAATTACAATATTATACATATTAGTGGACATAACAGTAAAAATAATTTAAAATTTTATATTTTCTTCTCTCATAACTAACATAATAAATTGTGAGTTTATTATCTTTTTTTTTATTCAACCGAATAAAAAGAAAGAAAGACACAACCTTTTAAGTAGGATGTCTCATCTATCCTTTCTTTTCTCTCTTCCATTTAATTTTTTTTCTTTTATACTGAATGGAACATTAATTTCATGCATGGTACTCTCAAGTTTCAGTTGTTGCCACTCTCTGTGCCTTTCAGCGTAGTGATTTTACAATGGTCTTTTCAATGAAGGTTGAAAAAAGATAAGACAAAAATTAGTACTTGACCGTTTGCGCGCTAATAGTTAGCTTCATCAGTTCGTCCATAATATACAAAGAATTATAAACCTGAATAAACGCAAGACATATTAAGTTATAACACTTGGTTTGTCTTTCAATAAAAGAGAAAATCATCAGCTTTTCTCGTTGATTTTTGACAAATTTCAAAATATGTTTCAAATCAAATGCATAAATTAACTTGAAAACAAGGTAGGTCTATGTGACCCTTAAGAATCAGATTTCCTTTAACAACTATCCAAGATTTTGTATTGAGTTTAAAAACTAAGTTCAAGTCATATTCCACTGAAATAGGTGGCACTTCTTCAAAACACAATAACAAGTTGCACTTGGGGTAGTAGTGAGTTCCGAAAAGTGCAATCATTAATTTGCACCCAGTTGCACTTTATTAAAACAGGTTGCACTTGGCTGATATGTGCAGGAATCAATTTATTTTTTTGTTTTGGACTTTTCAAATGACCTGAACTTGTGGAGGAAGTTTTTTCTTATTGTGATACTTCTATTTTAGAGTTGAAAATTATTTTAGTAACTTCTTGCTAGGCAAGTTGTGTGATTATGCTTACCCTTAAAAAAAAAAAAAAAAAAAAAAAAAGTTGTGTGATTATTTATAATTCCTACTAGCTAAGACAATTTACTGCATATTAACATGCTAAATGCATGTATGCGAATTCGAATAGTTGAAATGACTAATTTAATACTAAAAACAAGTTTATTTTCCAACATTAAGAATGTCATTGCTTGCAAAATCTTGAGACAATTGGAACAAAAATATTGCATCAAAAAATGGAAATTTCCATCATCAGTTCATTTTGTTTAATTTCAGGTTAATTTGCTTCATATTCCCAAAAAGTAAAACGAAAACAAATTAATTATACCCGACACCAGAGCCATTGTAAATTATATATTTGGAACAATGGTGAGCACCCAAGTATCAGATGTTCTTATATTGTATTCGTCACTCAATTGAGGCTCACCGATACAACAAAATCAGCAACCAACTAAATAGAATTTACATAAGAAATATTATTCATTTCACAACAAATGTTTTCTTAAGCATTCTATTTAAAAAAGAGGAGAGAATAATAACCAAACAGCAACTTAACTTCAACATAAATTGATCAATATCCTCAATGCAACTCTAAGGGTTGGCCTAGGGAAAAAGGCTTTGCCCTAGAGCCTTATTAAGTTTTAGGTCTCAAGTTCGATTCTCTTTAAGTGTGAGCAATTTCTTGGGGCAACGACTGCGGACAGGGACGGACCCAGCAGGGGACTAGGGGGGGCAGATGCCCCCCATGAATTTTTATATTTTCATTTTATACCCTAATGTTTTTAAAATTTATGAAAATGTCCCCCTAAAATTATAATTCGCCCCTACTGGATTCTTTTTTTTAACATTTTATACTTTAAATTTTGATAATTTATGAAGATGCCCCCACTATAATTATAATTTGCCCCACTGATTTTTTTTTTTTTCATTTTATACTTAATTTTTTAAAAAATTTATGAAAAAAATCCTATTAAAATTACAAAAATGAACTCATCATATAATTTTGTACCCACAAATTAAAAATTCGTCCCCCCCTCACCAAATTTTCTGGGTCCGTCACTGACTGCGGACATAACCCAAGTTTTACCCAATTCGTGTGAGGAGTCGCTTTGTACGGGTCCCATAAATTAGTCGGGGTAAAGTCCCAAATTCCCCGATTATCACAAGAAGAAAAAAATAATAATAATAAATAAAAATAAAAATTATAGTCAATGCAATGAATATTAAGTTGGCCATTGGTGTGAAAGGGGTTTGGAGTGAGCTGCAACATATATTATGCATGTATCAAATAAATAATTTAGAAGAAAAGAATAGCTAGGGGTACTATATATGCATTTGGCTTTGATAATCTTATATAGTTATACATGATGATATGTGGGTGACAGCAAAATCACACTATATAGTGAGTCCACTAAATGTGAGTGAGAGTATGCTAGTAGCTAGTGTGTGTCTATGAAGTGGACCACATTGTGGGCATACCAAATTCTCTTTGCATGTGCTTCAACAACTCTTGTGCAAAGGACACGGTTTTGGACCCCATTCATGGTCCTATAAATAGCAAATATTTCAAGCATTTCTGAGTCGTGGTTGTGAGATTTGAATACATTCCCATGGCTAGTCACAAAGTTCTTAGTATTGCTTTCTTTGTGCTGTTAGGTTTGGGCATATGTTCTGCAACTAGGGCCCTACTCACTCTTGAAGGAGGTGTTGGCTACACTCAGGGGTCAGGCGGTACTGTCGGCTATGGCGCAGGCCACGGCAATGGCGGTGGAAGTGGTGGAGGGTATGGGGGTGGTGGTGCTGGGGGCTATGGTGGTGGTGGAGGCTCTGGCAGTGGCGGAGGCGGTGGCTATGGAGCTGTAGGTGAGCATGGTGTTGCTGCCTATGGAGGTGGTGCTGGTGGAGGTAGTGGGGGTGGTGCCGGATATGGAGCTGGAGGAGAACATGGTGCTGGATCCGGTGGCGGTGGTGGAGGCGGTAGTGGTGGTGGTGGTGGGGCTGGTGGAGGAGCAGCTGGGGGTGGTGCAGGAGGTGGTTCGGGAAGTGGTTCGGGATATGGTGGTGGAGGAGAACATGGCGGTGGATCCGGAGGTGGAGGCGGTGGTGGTAGTGGTGGTGGCGGAGGGTACGGTGCAGGGGGAGAGCATGGCGGTGGTTATGGCGGAGGTGAAGGAGCTGGCAGCGGTGGTGGTTATGGTGCTGGTGGGGAACATGGAGGTGGATATGGTGGGGGAGGAGGAAGTGGTGGTGGTGGTGGAGCGGGTTATGCTGCGGGAGGAGCAGGTGGAAGTGGATATGGCAGTGGTGGAGGTGCCGGCGGTGGTGCAGGAGGAGAGCACGGTGGTGGATATGGCGGTGGCAGTGGTGGTGGCGGTGGCGCTGGTGGTGGTGGTGCTCATGGTGGCTATGCTCCTTGAAAATACCCTTTCACTCTATTTCACTATGAAAAAAGAAAAATAAAAATTGTTTGGATAAGAGGATGTTTTCAGTATCATATGGACATGCACTGAAAGCTCCTAAAAGTTGTGTCAAATGATAACCTACGTGCATTGTTCTTTTCATAATTAAATTGAAGTTCGAAGCATATTATATTTGTAAGAAAAGTTCTATATATATAATATATATATATATATATAAACCTAATATATTATTGAGTTTGTTTCCACTTAAATTTTTTTTTTTTTTTCTGCTGCTTCTCCTCATTAATGCGTTGCATGAATCCATTATGTGCATGAAATTTTGTTTTAGATGATTGCTATGGAACCATTTGAGAGATTTGGTTATTATTTGAAAAAATAAGATAAACTATTGCCTTACACAGCTTTTTATTACCATGTTTGTGCCTAAAGATAATGATAAATTGAATAAATCAATTATCAATCACTTTTTGTTTATAAATTAAGAATAATAGTAGGGAGATCCAAGAATTAACCTCCAATAAGCACCTCTGGCGTGTTTTTGTATATACTTAAACAGTTTTCAAAAAATAATTATTTAACATGTGATAAGAAATAATTCGAAAATTCCTTTTCAGTTCCCTATCATTACTCATATATTAATTTTTCAAAAAAAAATAGTATATAAAAAGGAAAGGATATGAAAGCACCGAAAACAGCAAAATCAACCAACTAAAACATGTGACCACAATGTAATGGACTCGGCACTTGCAATCTGCTCATAATGATAAATTATTAGATAGTGCTATTTTGGTGTCTTTTAATTCGAAAATCTTCTGGGAGTTCAAGACTTTCAGCATACAGATTACACATACACAAATCAGCAAACTACGATCTAAAATACAGACAAGTCTAAAACTTATGAATCCCACTTCAACCGTTTAGTAAATTGAAAGCGTTCATTAGATGATTAAAAAATAAAAACAAAAAAACATGTGGGACGAACCCTCTCACATATTTAGTAATTAAAAAATGATGACTGAGAAAAAAATTTACATCTTATTTATGGAGAAATTATTTGCTAGTCCGAGTACCGACTTTGTTTTCCTTGATGATAAGAAATATTAATTCACGGTTAATAGGAGGGATTACATTTTTGGTAGCTAGGTACTCAATAATTTCTCCTTGTTTATGATATAACAAATGAGAGGGATGGCTGAGTTCAAAAGCAAATATTATATATAGAATAAATGATATTTTCCTTCTGAAATTTATACAAATAATCCTCTTCGACTGGGTTGGGCTTAGTTTGGATTGATTGGGCTCTTTTGTATTCCTTATTGCTTATAAATTAATTGGTCCTTCTGTTTAGGCTTTGGGCTTCCCCTATTTTGGGTTTTATGGGGTCTAATCTTTTTATGTTAAATTAAATTAAATTAAATTAAATCTTTATTAACAAAAATTTCGCTCTTTTCTAAGAAATTTTTAGATGGTCTATATCTGCCACTTGATGGACCAATCCAATCAAAATTAATATTCATATATTTTATTTTATTTCCCTTTTTTACTGGTCATAACTAGCAGTGGGTTTTGTAGGAGAGAATAGGACAGAGAAAAATGGAGGAATAGCTATTGTAGGAGAGAAGTCTCACTAAGTCATTGAAGAATGATTTTCTAATTCTTCCAAAAGTGGACAGAATTTGAAAGAAACTTGAAGGGGCATAAAATCCCACTGGGCCAAATTCGACCTGGCCCACCAGCTGAGAAAGAGGACCGGTTACTGTGCACTCTGGGCTGTCCTGAGTGATGGATCAGGCCAAGAAGGACCAAGACCGTTTAGAAAGGATCAAGCCCACATTGTTTCTAGATTTAGAAATAGCACATCGGATTTTAGGGCAAGTATATACTTCTATAAATAGAATTTAGAGAGAGAATGTAAAGCAGATTGATTGAAGAAATCACTTTTTTAATAAAGAGAGCAGTTTCTTGCACCTTCAAAAAAAAAAAAAGTGGATAAGTATCTGTTTTTTGTCTTTTTTATAACAATAGAATAAAAAATAAAAAATAAAAAAAAATACACTTTTACTTTATCACTCACATTATCAGTCACAGAATAAAATAATTATTTCTTTTTCTCACCCAATGTTATATATATATATATATATATATATATATAGATTTTTTTTTTTTTTTTTTTGTGCCCGTTTACTTGCATTACACTATATAAAGTACGTTAAAAAATAAATTCAAGTAATTTAACTTGTGACTAGCTGTTTGTGTCCAATGTCCAACAAGCTTTAATACTTTGTTACTCTAATTAACCATCTAAAATCTTGTTCCTTTATATATATTTCTCAAAACTTTCCCAAACATTACTGAGAAATTAAGTCAAACTTAAAACCAGTTAATCAATTAATAATGTGCTATATATATATATATGTGTGTAACATCCATCAATATCTCAAAAGACGTCAGCCCAGATTATTTCAACCCTACACACGGCTTGCTACTGTTTTCACACACTGTACGTGCAATACACAAAATACATAGCGAATACATTATTCATTTATCCAGACATCTAAGGTTATTAATTTTCAATCCTTCCAGCAAAAACTTTGAAGAAGAAGGATAATTATTTGCTTTCCGAACTCCGAACAGCCGGAAGAGAGAAGGAGTTCGATCGATCAGCTGTTCAGAGTTCGGACAGCCTATCATAACTTTAGGTCATTATCCAGTGTTGCCCATTTAATAGAGGGGGCTAAGCGTGGCGGTCTGAGTACAATTCCAACTTTTCACATTATTTCCACAAGATGGCTGTGGCGGACTTTTGTCAGTTCGAGCTTTTACCACTGGTCCCTTAGTTGAATTTGTCTTTTTCGAACTCTCCCCGTGAGATTTTTCGGACTTCTCTGCATGGGATTTTTCGGACTTGTGCATGAGAATCTTCCTAATGTGTCCTGTAATCAGCGTCTTCGGCTTGATACTGCTCTCTCCTTGATCGACGAGGCTTGATCGGCTGCCTCTGATCGTGTCTACCTCGCCATCGTCCCTCATCATGACCATCTTGCATGGAATTTTGTCACCATAATATTCTCTGAACTTCCTGTGGTGTCTGTTGCAGTAAATCCCAAACAATATATAAAACTCCATGCATGATGATGTTGATGCATGATGTGTGTGTGAGAGAGAGTATATAATATAATGTATGTATGTATAGTTGATGGTATGTATGTATAGTTGATGGTATTACCTATCAAACACTACAAGTGTGGCTTTAAGTTGGGTGATCTGAGCTACTACAACTTCTTCAACAGGGAAGCCCATTTCAGTTTTTATTCGTGGCACAACCTATGATGTACACAAAAATAAATTAATAATATAAAATGATAATTTTATATAAGCTGCGCAATTATATGTATGTTATTGGGAAAATTAGTTGAATTGAAGAGCCTAGACAGTTTTACAATACCCCATATTTAAGGCAAACGTCTATCAGTCGATGGACTTTTTGATACTTGACAGTGTTGTTGCTCTTACAGTCTGTGGTTGTCATGAAGTCCTCGATGTTCATACCCCAGATATCAGATGTCTTGGTGGAGACTACATAGAGACAGTACAAAGTAACATCATGAATTAATCCAATAAGTTGTTAAAAGAAGTGTTGATTTGGAAAGTGATGAAAATGAAACAATTTCATGTTCTTATTGTCCCTGTATAAGCTTTTGAATGCAAAATTCCATTCTAAAGATGTCATCAACTCATATGACCTAGTTTGACTTTAAGAACTTTCTTTTTTCTTAAAAAAAAACCTAATGAGATGATATGGCTTATGGCCACTTGTGATGCACAACATTTTAGGGCATTTAAATAGATAAATATTAAGGCATGTCCTGGTGCAAAATATGGTCGCGCGCGCTCAAAATCGGAAACAATTAAGCCTACTTGATCTATGTTTGGTTGACAGATTCTGAAAGCTCAGAAATAATTATTTTCTTATAGAACTGTCTTTTGTAACTCTCTAGAAATAGTTTTATCTGCTTTATAAGTTCTTGAGAACAATTTTAGAAAACTAAACAAGCAAGACAATATATTTGCATGCTGAGATGAGATTACGTACATCCAACTTTTTTCATATTCCACAATAATAAAAGCCTCATGCAGTGGGCTAACTCTTAAAAAGAGAGATACTCACGGGGAATGTTAAGCCAGGGCTTTACGCCAAGGATGGTAACTTTGCAACTAGTTTGGAAAGCGACATTCTTGAGCACCCATTCAACAGGATCCATTGTGAACTCCTCCACGGCATCCTGGACAACGATGACATGCACGGTAGTGTCTGATGAGCCCGGTGGTGATTCGTGCAGTAGAAGTTCTTGACCTAGTGATGTCCTCTTGCTAGTTGAGAAGAGCCTCCATTTACTGTCATCTTCTTTCGCAATGGTAGTAGCATCCATTTGAGTTCTGCTCACATGAAACTATGTATAGAGAGATATTAGAGAGAAGGGGGAAATTGTATAAAGGACTTTTAAGTCCTTAAATAGCAGAGCTCTGTTTGGCATATATAGGAAAAACCAAAACAAGGTCATGTCACAAACAAGAGTACTTTACATTGTTTGAATCAAATACAAAGTTTGTTTTTCAAGCAAAGTGTGATGATGCCAAACAAAAGACATTGGTTTCACAGTGGGTTCTATGTCTCTAATTCTTAAGATGCTTTGTGTGAAAAGTATCTGATCACAAACTTAAAGTTGATCACTAAAAGTTAATGAAATATATAGGCATTGAAAAATTGTGATCAATTTGATTGGATGAGTACTTAGATTCAACCTCTTGACTTGCAAACCATGGTCTGAACATTTTGCATAAGAAACAAAGTGATTAGATGAGAGTTAGTTATTAAAATTTAAGCATAAAAAATTTGATCAATTATAATATATATTTGTTATGCATTGTTCACACACAGAATAAATGAGACACAGGTGAAGAACACCATGAATTTACAAATACAAAGTTGCGTTGCCCTTTTCATCCATTTGGACCATTTGGTTGTTGTGGGGTCCCTAATCGCATATTCGCATCTCTAACCAAATTTTTTTTTTTTTTTTTTAGAAAGTCAAACAATGTGTGTGTTTAACTGTGTGTGTATATAATTACAGTGTTGGGCCACAAGATTTGGGGTGGTCCACTTAATTCATAAATTCAATCCAATCAGTACGATTGGATTGGTGTTTTAATAGTTTGATGGGTGTTTTAATCAATCGGGTGCTAGACTCATAAATTAATTATTCATGGGGATGGATTTGGTTCACGAATTTTGATCTTAAAAAACCCAATCCAATCCTACCCGGTTTTTTATTTTATACATTTTTTATTTCATTGATTAAATTTGCTTCATTTACCACAATTGTTCTTTACATTTTTTTAATGTTCTATAATTCTGTCTTCTGTTATTTGTTTAACAAGGGATCATTAAGGATGAATAATGATCAAGTTTCTTTTAGATTGAGTTTGTTCAACTCAGTTTACAAATTCATCTTAATTTTAAATTGAGTGGAAAAAATAAAAAATAATAAAATAATAAAAAATTAGAGGAAATTACACCGACTACAATTATACCAAGTAAAAACTAAATGAATTTTTTCCACAAGGAAAAAATACGCTATGAATGGAAGAAGAAAATAACAAAATTCGAACATAAAAACATATTTTTGCAGATGAACTAGATCTACAATCACCTAAGAAGCAGAAGATGCAGAGCATGCTAATTGAAATTGAACGCTGGAAATTCCAAGAGAAAAGATTACTACTGCTTTTGCTTAATTAATTAAGGTTCCACTTCCCCTAAAACATCTTCCTCTGAAAATATTTTTCTTTTTTCAAGTAATTTTTTTATTATTATTATTTTCCTACATTTGGCAATATCTACGTTGAGGTTGAATCCATCAAGTAACGCGTATAAAGGTATCTTCTAAAAAAATATTTTAATTGTATCATGTCATAAAAATAGGTGCTTGAAAATACAAAATACAAATAGAATTATCAAAATTAAGAGAAAAACTCCCTGTTGCTTTAATACATTGTTATCTATGCTTTTTTTGTTTTTTGTTTTTTTTTGTTTTTTTTTTTTTTTCGAGACAAGAAGTGTTAAAAATTAGATTAGTAGGTACAGAGAGACATCTGCTCGTTATCTATATAATCAACCAATTGTATCATGCCATATAAATAAAAGTGATTTATTTCAATAGATTTTATCACTACATAACAATGTTTAATAAATTAATGATACCATAACATCACTACAACCGGCTCAATTAAATTTTTCTCCAAAACTAATGTTTGAAAGGAACTTTCCACAGTTAAAAAAAAAAAAAAAAAAAAAACTTCCCTCGGTTTTTCATCAAAAATTATTTCAAGTTGATGATTTTTCTAAATCTTCTTCGATTGTGTAATTTACTCAGTATTAGAACATTTACAGCATTCAGTGAGACACTACTTTTAAACGGTCAAAAATTGTCCTCTGATTCTTCTACACCTTCACTTTTGTTTAAACCAGAATTGCTCAGCATTGGACAAATCACTCTCGTCATCTCATGCCAAACAACTATATTCGATCATTAAACTTACCACTTTTAAAATTATTCAATCACCAACTCACAATTCATTTTCTTTAGAGGAAATTTCAATCTGGTTCATAATCTAAACACCTTTCTCTTCATTAAAAAAATTAAACACTATAATAGTCAAATAAACCCTAACTTTTACATGTAAGGGAAAGTATAAACAAACCTAGCTAGCCAAAACTACATACCACGCTAGATGGTTGCAGCTAGAAAGGGCAATCTGTTAAACTTAATATCCAGTAACATCTACTTTGGAAAAGACACGAAGACCAATTATTTTCACCTAGACTTCACCACCTGTTCGGCAAAAATCTCCGGCAGCCACCAGTCGCATGAAAGAAAGTAAGATTGGGGTTACAATAATCACCTGAGGAGGCTGCCACCTCCTTAATGAGACCACCCTGTTCTTCTGCTCCTCTTGTTCAGAGAACCTTCACTATTAGACCCCTCCATGGCAGCCAACAATCGAGAGCCCCTTTTACCAGGCATGTTTTTCAACATTCTATAAGCCTGTTTTTTCTCCGGATTCTCCAGATCCTTGTTTAATGGGCGTTTGCAAGACACCTTATTCTTTAATTTCAGATGACTAAGCGGGATCGAGTAACTCAATTCTGCAAATGTTATTCCATTTAGTGTCAGTTCTCATTACCAATTTGTTACATTGGAACGTAAATAAGATTTAGTAGAAGATTTTACCTGGAGGCTCTTCTGCATATAGATCAGGGCTTGGAGACCTTGGTGGAGTTTGAGGGGTGATGACATTGTTTTTCAGTTCATTGGACTTCCTACTGCAATTATTTTCACCTAGTGGGGATACGGCACACGTTTTCTCAACCTCAGAGGTTCCACCACAAGAATTACTTACCCCAACTGATACTGGAGTGTACATACTGGGACTGTGAGAGTCATCTTGAGCAATCCCTTCATGTCTTGATTCTCTAGAAGACTCTTCACAAAATCCATTTGTAGTATCTATGGTTTCATTGGCTTCAAAATTATGGCTATTCTCCCCATTAGGAGACAATGTACAATTGTGATCCACATTATCTAACACCGACTTAGGTGAAGTGTTGGATATATTTGGATCAAAGAAAGGCTTTTCTGCTTCAATAAAACTTGAAAACCAGGGCGTGCCCTGCTTGGCATAGAAAAGAATGTAGGCCTCTTGAGAAAGCACAAAATCTTCTCGAACTCTAGTAACCTTCAAGATCCCAGTCAACACATTAGTATCTTTACTCCAAGCCAGCATATTGCTACTAAGCATAAATAAATAAAGAACAGACGGAAGGGGAAAAAGACTACTAAAGTTAACTTATAGAAACCTAAACAGGGATCCTATATCCTATTATAGAATTACAGCCAATAAAAAGTTAACTTAAACAGGGATCAAAGAAACCTAATATATGAGTTTAAGATCACAACCTTATAAGAAATTTTGGATTGTTTCAAATAAGTGGGTGAGAAAGTTTGGGTACTTAAATCCAAAAAATGACAAAATAAGATTAAAAGGTCCACCTAGAATTTGCAGCTTAGATTAATTTCCAGTATTTAGCTATAACAGACTCTTCAGACTTCAGAATACAACATATATCCTATTTTGGCATTTACTGCTTTCTAGGGTCATCAGCATATGCCTAAAGTGAATGTGACAAAAATGTGAATGGTGAGATCAATGTGCAGCAAGACAAGAAAGGTTAGAATTAGAAATGCAAACATTTGTCAAATGGTTGAACTATCACCAATTGGAGATAAAATCAACTAAGATTGTTTAACACGTGAAAAGAAAATCGCTAGATGCACCTGACATGATCCACATTTGAGTGTAATGCTAGGGGAAGGGAAAAACCAAATTTTAAAGTGCTAAAGTTAGTAAAGAAAGATATGATAACATGTGGTCTGACGACTCTAACCGATGCTATGAATTAAAATTCATGTAGCCTAGTACCTGGAAAAAAGGCTTTGTTTTTCATTGAAGGCCAAAATTTCCACATTTACACTTAATGTAATCTCAAATTCAAAATAGGAGATCTCAAGTGCTAATAGCCTAATACCACACAATATTGACAGAAATATTACCTTAGAGTCATCCAACTTGTGCCATGTGTCTGGACTGGACCGAACGAAGCAATAATAATGCCCAGAAGTAGATGAGAAACCAATATGCACCAAAATTGCATACAGATCATATTTCAAGTTCACCTATGAGAGAGACTGAGAGATTAGTAACTGTCCGCACAACATGAATCTAACCACAGATATTTGACCACATGCATTGTCACCACACAATCAAAAGCAAAATATGACTTGCTTATAAAAATCTTGGGGTTTTAAAAATAAAAAATAAAATAAAGGATACCCAGAAGCTCACATTATCATTCTGGTTGCCATTGGTGTACGCAAGCAAATCCAAGTCCAGTGGGAACTCCACATGCTTATCAATCTTTTCAACATAAGACCCATCATTCTTGAATCTCTTTAGATGGAATGCAGCAACTGAAGGGGCCTCATCTAGCATAAGCTGTTTCTCTACTGACACTTCTTCCTTGCAGTTTTCACATGTAAACTTTGTCTCTGGATCTTCGATCTTTTCCACTTTGGTGAACGATTGGAGAGCACTTGGAAGGGAATCCACATCCTCAATTTCCAAGCTTAGGTCAATCAAGGGTTCATAAGTGTCAGAACGGTGACCACAGTTGCAACATCGAAGCTGAAATTCAAAATCACTAACTGATTAATAAAAGATCCTGTAAACTAGATTCGCCAATAAAGAATTTTATAAGGACAATATTAACAGCAACATTCAAAATAGTGAAGAACGTAAAGAAGTGGAAATCACTATTGAGTTCATACTTTGCTAATGAGCCGACCACCAAAAACCTGCTTCACAAAGTTGTCATCATGTGAAGACAATGTTTTATCCTTTGTCTTCAACTGAATACCACTGTCAAGTCTATCCAACAAGCATTGCAGGAACTCATGGGCATCTTCCTGTTGGAATCTCCGAAAACTAGATGAAAAATCTGATAATTTAAAGGTCAAGAATCACAATAACACATAAGTTATTGGACAAATGGTATTTCAAGCATCTAGCACAGCAACAGAACTCTAAAAAGGAAACTCAATATTGAAAAGGCACATAATTAGACCAGTAAACAGATCAGATTCAGACCGGATCAGGGCTGACCCAATCCAAATCAGATAAGGCCATCCCCCAATCTGATCTGATCACCCGCCAAATATTTTAAGAATGAATCCATAACTAATTTATTTTTTATTAAACAGATATCCGGCAGTTAACTGTGTAGTTTTTTTTTTTTATTGTAAAATAAATTAATGTCAAAAAAATCAGCAAACAATGACTAGAATAAAAATGATAGAAAACAAAAGATAAAGAAATTATGAAAGAAAATTAGATATTTTACTGTTTGTTAATATGTAAATATTACTATATATTATAGCATTAGAATATCTATGTGTGTTTAACATTTTCTATGATATATTATGTCAGATCAAATTATTATTGGTTTGAATTAAACATAGTCCATATCTAATTTGTCTAGCTAAGAGATTATCAGATTCAGATTGATAATGACAGGTCATCGAATTAAATCTTCAATTCATTTCCGAGTTATCATATTGAAATCGTATCAAAATCTATCCATTGACAGGCACACACATGATAGCAAAACAGTGCACGACCAAAGCCATATAGGAATAAATGGACCAAAAGTTCTGAATAGTTCAATTTGGCTTAACACAACTAATATAAGGAGAGGAAAACTATTTTATTACATACCCCTAAAAACAGAAGAAAAGCAAAAATTTAACTACCTAGAGGCCCATTACATTACAATTTACAATTACAAAAAACATATCAAAACAGTATAAGAAAAAAATATCACATAATCATTAACAGAGGTTGAAGAGGATACAGCTCAAATTGTCAACAAGTTTCAGTGGGGAGACAACTCTGCCAGTAGAAGCTAGCGAAAGTTCCATGTGGCCACGAAGAGCACAAAGCACACAAAACCCTTCATTATCAACTGCAACTGCCATTTCCAAAATCAAATTTCAACAACTTTACCCACAAAAATCATAAAACCAAATTTATTTTAAAATTTTGTAAAGAACAATTCACATGTACTAACCAAAACCATAGCCCAAACATGTAATTAAATATATAATGACATGAACTAAGCACAATAGGAGCATAGATCTTACAATCACAAGGCACCGTGCGATTGAATGAACGAAGACCTTGAACAAGTGGCACAGTGTGTGTAAAGCATTGCAACACTGCATTAAGGAAGCAAGTGTTGCCCAAATTTACAAGCCCTGCACCCTGCAAATTCACAAAATCAAGAACATTTCAATATCCACGTTCTAAATTAAAAACAATAATAATTATAGAAAACAATTAACACAAAATTCGACATTTAGAACAGCATACCACCACAGATGGTTTAATCTCACTAGACAAGGCCGGAGAAATTTGAACCAGTGACTTGGTTTCATTTTCTTGAGACCAATCGAAATCCAACGGCTCAGTATCTTCTACTGAAGGCCACTCAGACCAATTCGACGACGAAGACTTGGTGGCTCCGAGGGAGTCCCGAGGCGTAGACCAACTAGACCAATGTCCAGACGAGTACATCGAAAACGTACTGACCGGCGAAGAATGAACTGGGTCTGGTTCATCTTCTTCGTCTTCGCCCTTTAGTGATTCCATATCATGAAACAACGCCGAATCAGATTTATCATCATCACCGCAAGGAGATGAATTATCTATATCTGGTTCAACAAGAACCGGTGATGAGTGAAGGAGTTCATCTAGGGTTTGTTCAGGGGGCAGAGTAGGAGGTGAATTCGGCGCAGACCCATCTATGGTTTGCTGGAGATCAACTGAATCTGTGGGTGTAGAGTCGGTTTCTGGAGTTTTTGTGACCTGGGTATCCATTGGATTAGAGAGAGAAGACTTGTAGAGAGAGGAAATGGATATGTGGATTTTGGTGATGAAATTAGGGTTCTTGGAAGGAGTGGATTTGGGGCAATTTTTGGGGGGGGACAATTCAAAAATGAAAATGTGGGCGTTGAAAAGGAAGGAGAGATTTGATGAAAGATTTAGCTTTTGGTGGTAAAGAAAGAAGAGGGAAAGTCGAAATATGAATCGAAGGTTTCAGATGATTTTGGAGTTTTGAAAAAGGAGGGAAAATGGAACCGCCATTTCGGGTTTACGCTTGAGACCCAAACCGGGGGAGAGAGAGAGTGAGACCCACTATTTGGTACTTTGTTGGGTAGAATGAAAAAAAATAAGGAAAGAGCAGAAGAATAGGTAAAAGAGACCAGAGGAACTGACAATTTATTTATTAGGGGAGAAGGAAAGAAAAAAAATTTAATTATTTTTACTATTTTATCCATCAATACCTATATTTGTTTTAATTAATATAAGATTTTTATAATAAGTGACAAAATTTGGCGCGACCCCACAACACGAATTTAGTAAATTCGAATTGATCTTAATCGTATTCGTGTTATTACTTGTTTAATTAATCGTGTTGTGTTTGTATTTTGAAACTCAATATATTTAACATGACTAGACACATTTAATCTTAATCGTCGTAATTTGTTTTAACCCAATTAGACACATTTAATTTTAATCATTTCAACTTGATTAATTCATAACATGTTTTAACCCTATTAAACACATTTAACTAATCATATCCAACCAAACCATAATATTTATAAATATAGTTTTTTATATATATATGATTTTAGAAACTAAAAACTACAAATGCACTAGAAGAAATTCTCTCTCTTTACACAAAAACAAGGTTAAAAAAGGTTTCATTTAGCCTTTAAAAAAAAGGTTTCATTTAGGTTAATGTAGTTAATATTAGTGCAATTATCTTACTTAAGCTTAATATGCAATTAGTTAATATTGTGTAGTTCGAATAGATTTAGTTTAGGTGGTTTTATGGGTCGGATTTGATTTCAACTTTTATTATATCTACGTACCATATTGCAAAGTTTTTTTTTTTATTTTGGTTCACTAGTGCAACAACATTTTTTTAATAATTTTACTGAATAAAATAAACGCTCTATAAATAACTCAGGATGCACATTGTTTTGAAATTTTATAACAGAAAGGCAAGAGGCTCTTTGCATTGTCAATTTGTCATTTAAAGGATGATTCAAAAAAGGAATTTACGCTAATAGGCCTTGTTTTTTTTTAGATATTGTTACTAGCAATAATAAATCAGATTACTGGAATCCCCCCAATACATATTGTTTTATATATTGTTCAATAAATATATATATATATATATATATATATATATATATATCCTTAATATTTAACATTATCTTCAATTCAAGACCCTTCACTTTTTCTCTCTCTTTCTTCTCTTTCCAAATTTTTTTTTAATTTTCTCTATTTAAAATTGGGTCTGAAACTCACTCTCTCTCTCAAAATTTTTACCTATCTCTTTCAAATTATCTTTAGTTTTTCTCTACAATTAGGGATATTGATTTTATTCATTTTCACTCCTTTAAAATTTACTCGACATCTTTTTTTTCTCTATGTGAAAAGATTATTCACAATAAAGTTTTAGAGTCAAATTAGAGCCCACTAATACAAAATTAAGCTCTGCATAATATTCAAATTGAAGTAATAAATCTTGAACTTAAACTAAGAAAAAGTGAATTAAACTAGTGTTTCCAAATTGGCCCCTTGTAAATTCATGGGATGGAGAACGTTCATAAATAAAAATAAGTATATACATGTGTAAACCTACACCTATGGCAAGAACAGAAAACTTAACTTTCTCTTTGCACGATATTCAACCAAAAATTTTGCCCTTGAATTTTATCATGTGAGTGTAAGTGGCAAAACAACATCGGATTCAGTTACTATTTCAGATACAACCTTTGGCTGATATTCTTGGGATGGCCAATACTTTTAAATCCAGAGATTAATCGGACTCTCGCAATTTTATCCAAGGCAGAGTTTGGTGTTTTTTGAGAGTGATAGTGAAAAAATTGATAGATAAATTATCTTTACTGTCACTCTAATATTGATCCAGGATAATGTTGTGATTGAACCGAAAGAAAAAGTAGAGAAAAATTATTGATCCACAGTCCCACCCGCTATTGTCACTAAAACTGCTCTTTCTCCATCTTTCATTGAAACTGTTAGTGGGCATATATTCTTAAAAAATTTCTAATTTTCTCCACCTCAATTTTTCTTAGCAATTCTAGCATAAATCCCTACTTAGCAACCATCGGTAAAATTAAAATTTTTCAATAAATCAAAACAAATTTATGCAGTATTTACAAACAAAAATATTTAGTTATTGAAAAAAGTAGATAATAATTCTAATATTCAAAATACAATTAGGACAGAAATAAAGTATTATGTCCAAACCATTTTTTTTTTTCTTTTTTTTTTTAACCAAGTAATAAGAAAAACAGCCATAACACATCCATAAATGGCCATACAGAGGCAACCGCCGGGGGAAAAAGCAATAATGGGAGTGACCCAAAGATCAGACCATCATCAAGGCAACAGCTTCAAAACTACATCCACATGGCGCCTCCAACAAGGAGAAAAATCACTCAAATCCCGCCCAAGATAAAATCAAGACTGGGACAACAAAAACCAACATACATCATAGATATAGCCGGAGACAAAACAACAGATCTATCCAGTCAAGCTAGAAACAAGTCAAACAAGAACAGATTTAGCAAAACAAAAGCAAAAACGACTTGAAAACCACTCACAGAACGAACTTATTATTACACGCCGAGTTCATTTAATCTGTGGGAGGCAAGAAACGGCACCTCCCATTCCCATGGAAGGGAGTGGGGAGAAAAACATATGGAGAGACGTAGTTGAAGGCGACAGAAAGGGTAGAGAGAGGAGAGAAAAAGTAAAGAGAAAAAATTAAATAAATAAAATTGAGAAGATTAACAAAAGAGAAATTTCGTTTTATGCCACCCTCCAAGCGGACAATCTTCCCCAAATCAAAAGGTCGATTTCTATCCCTTCCTCACTGTGTGTAGTTCCACCAGAGAATGTGTGAAAAGGGATGGATGAATCAACAAACTTGAAAGGTCCTTTATATAAAACAAAAGAGACACAGACATATCTTCAAACAGTTCATCTGCTAAAAATTAAAACACCACCAGCTCAACATTAAACCTAAGCAGTGTGTTAACCTTTTATTTTTGTCTTTCTGAAAGAATTTTTATGAACCCCTTATACATCCACAAGATAAAATACTGGCTGCTACAGTTACAAACTCTTCTGATGATTTTCAACACAAACGCAATATCATCAGAGGATTCTGTCCTGAAGATCGGTTAACAAAGTGGACGCTAGGGAACCTAGTTTCTTCCCGGTCTCTCCTGCCATATTCTTAATAGACGAGATGTCCTGTTGCGCCTGAAAGGGAAAAACCAACTCATGATGAACTCTAAATTAACTGCTTAACAGAACCAAATATTTAGAATGAAGAGGAAAAAAATATCTTAATTTTTCAAGAGATCGGAAAATGACGCCACCGGAAACAACATTTTATTGATATGTTCCCCAACAGGGTACGCCAAACAGTTGCAAATCCTACCTGGAAAGAGAGTCTGTTAATGAGGTCACTCGCTGTGAGATCAATAGAAGAATTATCTGCATCATGACCAAAGAGATCGGCACTAGAGATGGCTGTTGAACCCTAAAAGACAAGAAAAGGAGAAATTATATATCTAGCAGAGTAAAAAAAACTCAATACCAATTTTATCCTACACATACATCTACTACACGGAGTGAGGGGAGCAATTTAAGTGAAAAATTGCAATTGCATGAATAGATTGAAAATAAATTGTCAATACTAGAAGTACCCATATAATTTCCACTTTTTTACTTGAGATATTCCACATACGAAATAATTCCTGAAAGCAGGATGGGAAGATAAAAAAGAACCATTTTGAAGCTTAGAAAAGTGATTTAAGTGAGCCTAAATTTCTAAATAACTATACTTCCAATTTTTTTTTACCAAAATCGAAAGAAGTGCAGGGAATAAAAAAAACAATAATAATAAAAAATAAGCAAATGAAGAAAACTGTCTTTACCCCTCCACCAATTTAACTTGTACTACACACACATCTCTGTTTATCGTACTTAAATCCTGTTCAACAACTGCTAATCAAGAATCATGCAACATTGAAGTTATTCCTTCTTGTGACCAAAAAATGCAATATTGCCATAACCATCAGCTAACTTCATTTCCCATTAAAAGTAATAAATAAAAAATAAATAAATAAATAAATAAAGGAGAGAAGAAGAAATGCAGAAATACTCGGATCGCTCGATAACAAAACTTTAGACATACTAGTATGCTATATTTCATTTAAGTAAAGATTGGAAGTTCTTCCTCGTTGAAGTCGCATGCTGATACTTGATTAATCCTATATGTTATCTAAAGATCAATCTGGCAGGTAAAATTCAGTACAACATTATAACAGGACAGGATAAAAGAGTGGCCCATAAATGGATGATATTTGAGAAAATAAAAAATCTTATAGAAGTATGACTTGGTAACAGCAGGTACATACTGAGAAAATAAAAAAATCTCAAGATTTTCCAACAAATAATGGTAGCAACAGATACATACTGAGAACTTCTGCAAGGTAACTTGACTGTCCATAGCCCCTGATTTGTTCTGATCCCCAAAAAACTGGGCTGATGAAATAGATTTTGCATTAGAGAACTTCTTCCTTGCTTCGTCAGTTTCCTGGATCTGATAAAATAAATGTAAAGGAAAAAAATTAGATAACGACAAGCATTACAAATTCATAAATTGCTAGCACTGAGATAAACGTAAAGAGAAGCAAAACGTACATCGGTCCTTGTAATTATGTTTCCAAGAAAGGGGGAGGGAGAGGGGAAAAAAGAAAGAAAGAAGATCTATCAAAACATCTTAAGAACAAAAATATTTAAGGCCTACGATCTTTATGGATCTATAGTGTCAAGTCAAGTTTTTATGCATTCATCTAAAATCATAAGCATTGGAACTGATGCTCCTAGTATATGCGGATCAGGAGTCTTCTAACCTCGAAACGAATTTTCATCGCTGGGGAAGCAACTTGGACATTAGCCATTACATGACTGAGACATAGATCCAACTCCCAAAACTTAAAGAATCATCATAATCCTTGCCTTAATCCCGTATGAACACGGCTCACTTTCCATTCTTTTATTTAACAAGTCATTTCTCCTATATATTTGATTTCTTAGAATCATTTCTAATAAATTTATCCCATGTTAATTTTGGTGTGCCTCTTACCTACTATACAAACTAATCTTCCTTTTCTTATGGGTGCATCTATAGGTCTATGTTCTTTATGTCTATACACCCAAGTCTACTTTCTCTTGTTATCACTAATAGGTGACATCACTAATTTCTCCCTCAAACTTTGATTATTAATATTTATCATACATCTTAACATCCTCATTTCGGCTACATGGATGTGTTGTGTTCTTATTTCTTCTTCAAGTCACTCCTGTTGAATATAATTCACAAAATCAATAGACAAGGTATACATTCATTGAAAAATCATAATAGAAGTTATTGCATGGATATTACTCGGAGAAGAGAGATCACCATATTTTTGCTCCATGAATGTGACCTATGTATACTAATAAGTTATTTAGGGCGACATGGCAAATTATAACCAACTTCACTAAGCCAGTTATCTATAATTTTTAACCCCAGGCATCTTAACATTAGCACTTGCTATAATTTTTAACCCCAGGCTACTCAGCAGAAAATGAGTTTGGGATTATGCATGCTGGCAGTTTCTACAATTTGGATATTATAGCCTACAAGACAATATTTGTACAAAGCAGGAAATTTAGAACCAGTGTGAAAAACCAACTTAGCTACCCAAAGAAAAGTGGCTTGAGACCATTGAAATGCCAGCAATTTCTACGTTTTGGATATTTCAGACTATAAGACAATATCTGCAAGCTGGTGTTCTATATGTATCTTGGGATGGAAATTTTACCCACCTTTTATCATTTATCTGTATCAAGCTGATTTGAGACCAATTAGATGGTGATTTCTTTCTCACTTTTTTCATCAAATGATGGTATTTTATAATTATTTATCACATAATATTATTATAATTGTTTATAAAAAGTTGTAACCAAAGAATAATAAAATGATGTACCAAAATTTTATTTCTTAAAAAAAATGTATTTTATTTTTACTTTTAGCAGGGAGGGGGATGGTATCTAAAATAGGGGAAGGAATAAGGGTTCCTACAAACAGAGTGGGTCAGGGGAGCATTTCTTTAAGCAGGGTTACACGTGGTGAAGGAGGGTCCTGCCCCATGCCTCCCCCATTGCAACCCCTATGTGGATCAGTACAATTAGTTAACCTAGCTACAGTCTGTCACAAATAAGCAAAGTCATAAATCATTGAGCTTACTTGCACTTTCGAAGAATTGGAGCTTGTTTTCTTTGGAAAACCACTGTCCATACCAAAATCTGCAAAGAAACTTGACGACTTTGGTGGGGATACATGGCTCAACACGTGTGTCCCTCCAGAACTCATCTCAGCAGTTTGGACATCATCAGTGTACTCAAAACGTGATGTAAGAGATGAACCAACTGCAGGGGTACTATCAATTGAGGTGGAAACTTGTATAGGTGCTTCTTCAGGCTTTTGGTCATAGAGACTTTCACTTGGCTGCATCAAACAAAAGCATTCAATGTTTGGTAAAAAAAATTTACTTAATAAAAATTGGAAATAGAATTCTACAAAAATGACAACTCCTCATTTAGCGATATGATAGTTTTTCAATTACCGAAAAAAAAGGTATGATAGTTTTTCCAACAATCAGTATGAACTGTTTCTCCAACAATCAATATGTTCATAGACATTAAAGCAAGGGTCTACCTTAGTATTAAGCTTCCGAGCACCAAGCCCCCCAGTCTTTCCAGTTTTCTTAGCACCAATAGGCTTCCTGACGGAAGAGGCAACAACTGTACGAGTAGCTCTAGGTGAGGGGGGGAAATCAGAAGTTTCATGCTTCCCTGAAGAACTTTCTTTTGGAGCTTCATTGATCTTGACATCAGGAAACTCTTCAACAGCTTTGGCTGATTGAGAAACAACCGGTGATGATGGCAAAACTGCCTCTTCCGCAGAACTTTTAGCAACTTCTTTCGTAAGTAGTTGCCTATATAATTCAGCAGCTCTTGAGGTATACTTGGCCTCAATCTTGCCTCCGTCAGTCCATCCATGCTGCTTGAAGAAAACTTGAGCACGGCTGTTTCCCCCAAAGCTCATCATCTTTAACTGCTCCGGAGTCCATGAGTCTAAATTTGTAGACCTACAACGAATAGACCAGGCATTTTAGTAATGAATAAATATATTTTATTTTAAATAAAAAGGTCCTAGAGAAAGAGTAATAACTAAAAAAATGATTAATGAGTGAATAAAAGTATCTTAATGCCTAAATTTAAATAACAGGGAGATCATTCAGAGTTATACAAACTGAAAGTTGTTAAGAGTAACGAAATTAAATCGCAAATGATACTTTAGGATAGAAAGATTAACAATTATGACTTAAAACAACAGTGCAGGAAAAATCAATTTAGATTTATGCTGAGTAGGTCAATCATGAAAGCTATTTACATTTTAGGAGAGTAGTGATTTCTATAATTTTAAAGAAACCAGGTAACAAGGCTCTAGAGATATAATACAGTAAGTTTAATAAAGAAATAAAGAGTTATAAATAGATATTTTGACATAATAATATGATTTAGATGTGGTTATAATAAAAATAATTGCAAAAGAAATGAATGAGTGTAAATTAATGAGGTATCATGTTGTATAGTATTTACCAATGATGTATTTTGATTGATAAAACTAAAAAGGATAAGTTTTGGAAATTAATGAGGTATCATGTTGTATAGTATTTGTAAATAATATATTTTTACTGATAATAATAAAAAGGATAAGTTTTGAGAGAAACTCTAGAATGAATAAGATTGAGATAAATAGGACTACAAGGTTGAGCATATGGAATATGAATTTAACAAAACTACAAAAAATTGACGATGTAGACAAGATATAGAGATTAAGAGATGTATAAAACCAAAAAAAATTGTTACGTAAGCTTGGTTAATTTCAAAGAGGGAGGGAATGGAAATTATATTGCTTAGTATTACATCGAGGAGTGCTTTTAGTGTTCAAGTGATCAACGTATACAGCTAAAACAGCAAACTAAATTCTATACAAGCGGTACGGAGCTGGAGTTGGACAACTACAGAACATGTTCATAAAAAGAGTATGAGCATGACCTCAGCGTCTTAAGAAAGTGAAGGAAGCAGTTAAGGAATGGTGGCAATATTCAATCTAAGGTCAAGACTGCAAAAGATGAGTTGTGTGCTACCCAAACATCACTTCAGCAGAGCCCTTTCAATCCTGAGGTTGTGAATAGAGAAATATGTGTAGGAAGAATTTAGAAGCAGCCTTATCAAATGAGGAGGTGCTGGTTGCTCAGAAATCTAGAATTCATTGGCTCAGAGATTTTGACAGATCAACCAATTTCTTCCATCAAAAAGTGGCTCAACACAAGAATAATAATGACATTACCTCTATGCTTCAGGAAGATGGGTCTATTACTTATGATCAGGAGTTGATCAAGAGGAAGTTTGTAGATCATTTTTCAAACTTCTTTTGTAGCTCAAGGTGATCCACTTCAGTCTGACATGAGATAGCCTAGAAGAGTCTTTTCTTCTGCTGATGCTCAGCTGCTGCAAGATCCTATTTCAGATGAAGAAATCAGAAAAGTGGTTATGGATTTCCACCCAGATAGGGTGCCAGGACCAGATGGTTTTCCAGCTCGATTCTATCAGAAATTTTTGCACATTGTTGGGAAGGATGTTTGTAGTGCTGTCAAACACTTTTTCTCTCGCCCTCATTTGTCCAAAGGTATAAACTCTGCCTTTATTTCTCTGATTCCTAACAATAAGAAGAAGGCTGTCAATGTAACAGATTTTAGGCCTATGGCTCTATGCAACACCACCTACAAGATCATTACTAAAATTATTGCAAATAGGCAGACTTGCTGTGGTCCTTCCTAAGTTAATTGGTGTAGAGCAGTCTGCTTTTGTGAGAGGAAGGAGGATACGTCATAATATTTTGATAACCAGAGAACTAGTGAGTGGGTTTGGAGCTGCTTCTAACCCTTCATTGGCCATTTAGAATGACTGAATAAAGCCTATGGTTCACTTTCTTGGCAGTTCTTGCTTGCTCTTCTTCAGACCTTTGGATTTGGACACACTTGGGTCACATGGGTGAAGGAATGTCTGTCTACTTCCTGGTTGTCTATTTTTCTTAATGGTTCTACAGAAGGCTTTTTCCAACCTGGCAGAGGACTTAGGCAGGGGTGTCCTCTGTCCCCCTTGCTCTTCACTTTACTAACCGAGTATTTTCCTTCTCTTGTTGAAGCTAAAGTTAATGCAGATCACTTAAGCCCCATTAGAGCTGCTAAAAGGATTCATTCCAAGTTATGTCACCTGTTTTATGCTGATGATTTGCTTTTTGTCACCAAAGCTGTTGTGAGCTCTGTTCTGGCCATTACGAAAGTGCTGGGTAATTTTGCTTGCGTGTCTGGTTTACACCCTAATTTGCAGAAGTCAATTGTTTTCTTTTCTAAGGCTGTGAGGAGGAGGCATTGCTTGCTTAGAATCCTACAATTTCAGGAAAGTAAATTTCCTTTCAAGTACTTGGGTGTCCCTCTGGTTATGCATTGGTTGTCTCTGTCCTCATGTTCTGAGCTATTAGACAAGATTAATAGTAAATTATCCATTTAGATTAATTGTACCCTTTCATTGGCTGGCAGAACTGAACTATAGTCAGGTCTGTTATCAACCCTTTAATCTTTTATTGGTGCTCAGCTGCCAAGCTTCCTGCTGCTGTTGCTTATACCATCCAGAAGAAGATCAAGAAATTCTTTGGGGAAGCAGTGATACAGTATCCAAAATGCATTTTATGAGGTGGGATCTTGTTGCTAGACCCAAGTCGGAGGGTGGGTCTGGATTGAGGAGAGTTGAGGATATTCAAACATCTGTGTTTTTTGTGGCCTGGTTTGGGACTTTATAAATAGCAAAGAGAATTTATGGGTGAGATGGTTCAGGGATAAACACGCTATAGGTTCAACGTATTGGAATGCAGTTTTGACCTCCAATGCTTCTCCTATTTGGAGAAACATGGTCTCTGTGAGACACATTGTTCAAAGAGCCATCAATTTTCATATTGCTGATGGAAGCAAATTCAGTTTGTTTCAAGACCCTTGGTGTGGTGGGGAGACTTTGGTTCAAAATTTTGGCCACAGGATAGGCTTTTACCTTGGTCTAGAGACTCAAAAGTTGATGTCATTATTCAAAATAATAATTGGTGCCTTGATTTGTTCAACCATGATGAGTTACAGCCTTTGAAGCAAATTATTGAAGCTATTTCTACGCATTCTGGTGCTGATAAGTTATTGTGGGACGGAGGCCGGTTCAGTTTAAACGGGCATGGGACGTTTGCAGAGCTCACAATCCTGTGATGAATTGGAGAAAATTGGCTTGGAATAGAGATAGACAGAGAACGAATTTCACTACTTATATAGTTCTTCAAAGCAAGCATCCTTCATTCACTAATTTGCAGAAACAAGGTTTCTCCCTTCCTTCAGTTTGCCATAACTGCATGCGTAGTGATGACTCCAGACACCATCTTTACTTTGACTGTGGCTTTGCTAGAGGCATTTGGAATTGGTTCAACCATTGTTTCGGTTGGAATATGACATGCAACTCCTTTAAAGAATTACTTGATTGGAGCATTCAGAAGGCAGAGTCATCTAGTGTCTTTGCCATGCTGTTCTCCATTGCTGTGTGGGCTATATGGCAAGAGCGGAATTTGAGGTTACACCAGAGAACCAACAGATCTTCTATAGAGGTAGCTAGAGCTGCTGTCTTTGAGCTTACGGACATAGGTGCTGTTACATTTGATGATTTCTATAACTAAATTTTGGATTCTTGTTTTCTTGTTTGGCATCTGCTTCCATGTTTATTGGAAGTGGTCATACTCAATTTGGTTTCGCCTGTTTCTTGGGAGCTAAACAAGGTCGTGGGGTTTCAACAATGCCAGTGGTTGTCGATGGCCATTAGCATCTAGGTTTTTTCCACCCAACCTCTAAAATAGGTCCTAAAAGGGTCCTGACTCATGTAGACCAACAAGTCTTCATCTCTATTCATTGTTAAGAAATCTACATCTTCAAGCTTCAGTTTACCACCCTCTGATGATGAAAATTTCCTCCTTTTGCCTTCAAAGGAAGACCAGTTGAGGGAAGTAACGTAGATTAGACTGAAGAGAGATAAAGAGAGAGGCGGCAAGTGGCGGCAGTAATGGGGGTTGGTGGTTGCGGTGGTGGGTACTAGTAGAATATATATATATATATATATATATATATATATATATATATATATATGACCTTTATATGTGCGTATATATAGTGGGGGTATATGCATATTAATCTATATTTAATTTTCAAATATTTTCTTTGCTTAAAAATCAATAGTGAGGTAATCAAGCATAATTACTAAAAGTGAGGGCATTTTTGTATTTTCACATTGGGAATTAACGGTGCTACCGGTCCTAACTCTAATAAGGGATGTCAAGTGTTTTTTTCAAAAAATTTCAACTTGACGATAATTTCAATAAAACTCAAGGGATTTGTAGATAATATACCCTATCATTTATCATATTTATATTGCATTTCATGAATGATTTAGAAACTGTTTCAAATTGTAAAACTAAGGTTTTGTTGGAATAGGAGGCTTGATAGATCAAAGTTATGGAATGGTATCGATTGTTTGGGTTCAATTGATTAAGTTGATTGATGGATTGATCTAACCCTATGGGAAACAATTTCCTGTGTGGTTTTAAAAACAAACCCTAATGGCCTAATCTATTCAAAAGTGTATATAAACACACTTAGGATTTCATAACAGATATCTATGCATTTTGAGGGCATTCAAGTATCCATTGGAGCATAACTTTCTTTCTGCTCATCATCATCGTTGCATGTAGACCGTGAGTAAAGTATTGGAGTGCTGAATCATCTGTCTCAAAAGCATCAATTGAGTTCAACACCAACAAAATCACTCACCAAAAGGTATGGGGGTAAACGGCTAGCTGAAGGAGAAAAATTAAGGAGGAAAAAGTGAAGCGCATGGAACAGATTCGTTGACAACATTAACAGAATTCGAGCATAATATTTGGCATCAATCTGGATTAAATGTAACTGAAGTAATTCCAGGATAAGAGTTTAATACCTAACATGGTTAACCTTTTCTACATCAAGATTGTTTTTGCCTGGCCTAGTGTATTCCACGTAAGTCTGTGTTCTTGTGTCATTGCTCTTTATTTTAATTTTGCCATACTTATTATTTGTGGTTGAATATTATATTAAAAATTTTGAAATTTCTATAAAGTTAGTTAAATAGTGTTTCCAAGGTGTCTAGCCACTCCCATTTACCTCTAGTTTGATGTTTAGCTTACTCCAACATATCAGAGTCTAAGGTGTCAGTTCGTCCCTTGACTCCCTTAAAACCCTTCTCATTTTTCTTAGGAATGAGAAGGTGCGCTGATAGAGGATGATTTTTCACAGGGCCAAAACAGCAGATTTACGTCCACCCTCCTTAAGCCCGATTAAAAGCACGAGAAAGCTAGGGGAGTTGAAAATGAACTATCTGCTATCATATATATCCGCAACACCTTGACTATAGATCCTAAATTTATCCTCTCTCTTTTTTGTTTAAATCAAAGAGAACCTTTAAGTATATACACCTCTTTTGTGGTATCCGCATTGAGCTTCACCGTCATTTCGAACAAAAAAAGCTTTGAACTTTTACATTCTAGACCGAACAACTCAACCAAATCTTTCCACTCAACTGTGATTTGTGCCATTTCTTAGAGTGAAATACAACAAATTTTTCTAACAAATTTTTCTATGCATACCCCATTACTATATATATAAGTGCATATGATATCAAATTTGCTCAATTAACCCAAAACTTGAACTGAATGACTGCAACCTGAAATCAGGAACCCTAATTTATGCATAAACCAATCGGCTTATTTCACAAATTAACTTCACATAGAGAATTGGCAATTGAAATCACCTCACGAAACTGACGTGAACACCGAGGCCGCGATGAACGGCCGAACAGTCGATGCAGAGAAAGATCCCGTACGTAACTGACGCCCAAGTAGGATTCCTCGCATTGCAATCAAAACAAATCTGGAACAACAAAAATTCCAAAAATAAAATTTTAAAAAAAATCGTAACCGAAATCCACATTAAACCCAGATCCGCATCAGATCTCCACGATGTCAACACAATTCAACCTGGGAAAAACCAAATTGGCACACAAAATCAACCCAAAAAAAAAAAGACATACACAGACTAACCTTGTTCTCTGACTTGGATTTCAGCTTCCTGAAAACAACGTTCTTGTCGGTGAAGCTCTCCAACGCCATGGCAGAGATATATGTAGATAAATATATATAGATATAGAGAGAGAGAGTTCTAGAGGAGGAAAGAGATTTTCGAAGCAAAAAGGACCTCCTCTAGGGAACAGACGAAGACAGAGAGTGAGGGATTTTATGTGAAAACGAAAAGTGTTTGGTTTTTTTGAAGCTCTTGGTTAATTTGGGGAATATTTTTTGATTTTATAGTGCTCAAAATGCCCTTGGATCTTCGAGTTATTGCGTAAGAAGGTCTCTTGTTAGTTGTTTCAGAGATGAGTTTGTTGTTGGGTTATTGTCTTTATGGTTAAATATGACACGACATGCATGACACTCTGAAATTCAACTTAAATAGGAGTAGTAAAACTATTTTGTTATTGCACGAAATAATTTTTAAATGGGTACGTGGGTATTACTAATTTCTCTTTTTAAATTTTGAATATTTAAATTTAAAATTTTAAATTAAAAAAGATGAAATATATTATTTTTTTTATAAAAAAAAAAAAAAAAAAAGTGGACTATTACTTTAAAACAGACGAAAAACGAATTATGATTAACTTTAAATGAATTTGAATTGTAAGGTGATCGATACGATTAATTAGTTTAGTTAATTGTATCATATTTAAGTTAAGATGGTTCAACTCGTTTATACTCATTTAATTGAGTTTTATTAATAATTTAAATAATATATTTTTTTTTTTGTTTTAACACACAGGGCATTATTATACGTATAACTCGATTCAGGTTAATGCTAATGTTGAAAGTTTATGATATAATTATTGAATAAGTCGTGTTTGAATTAAGCTATTTAGTATAATATCTCATATACACACGACACGATTACCACCCATGGACACAAATTACCACACGTAAATACAATAAGAAGACCTTTGACCAATGCACTCACCATTTCAGTGAAAAAACAAATTCATATGATAATTTGAAATTCATCAAAATTAGATTTTAATTTAAATTTCAATTATGTGGACCTTGTAGTAATTTTGAAGATTGGAAGATTGCTTTATTTTTGTGGCAATGGAGTTGGATTTTTCAAATTATTGTTGTCGTGTTATTTTTGAATTACTTTGTAATTGTTTCGGAAGAACCTTAGCTACATATAGGCTGTCAATTGGGCTGGACTCGAGAGAAGTCCAATTAATACTTCCTGAGGTCAAGCCCAAGTTCAATTTGATTAGAGTTTTGCTTTTATAGGCCCAAGTTTAACCATTCCACTGGACAAGTATCAGGATTGAAAATTCTGAACCGAATGATTCATCAATACTCAGTAGTGCTTTAAGAATAACGAAATTGATACCTCCCTTGGTCTTTTACCTAGAAAATGAATCAAAAACATCGAATTTGGGTTCAAGCTCTTGACCATATTCGGCTTGACTCTAATTCGAACCAAGTGTGGACCGACAAAAAATTTGGAATAAATGAGAAGGCCTTCGGGCTTGCCATGGACTACGGACAACCCTAATCGGCCAATCCCATAGGTTGTGCACTGAAGAGAAAAGAATTACTTGTGAACTCTTATTTGACTTATTTTTTTCACATAGTTAGGCTGTTAAGTTTAAATCAATTGGGCTTTCTATTTTATTTTTATTTTCATATTTTGTTGGTACTCAGAACCAACAACTTGGTAGCTGCACAAGTAGGTTTGTATGGACTAAGGTCTGGAAAGGTTTAAGTGTCCAACCCACACATTTTGTTGAAATCCGTGTACCTTCTTCCATGTCTCGGGCCTATCCTGGAAGGTCTATATAAAACTTAGAAAAGAGGTGCATACTTGGATGTTCACAAAATTGTAAATTTAGCCCATTCAGAACCAACCCATTACTATGTCTCGGTTCAACCTTGACAAACAAATAAATGTGGGAAATTTTTTGAATACTTCTGGTACCGTACTTCAATTTTTTTAACAGCTGAATGTGATGATGTGCTTCACTCGAGAAAGTATTAAATATAGAGGGACATGGTACTTGGGGTCATCCAAACTCTTGAACGTCGTGAGACTCACTGTCACATTCATAATCCAAAGGGGTCATTGCTCCATAATTCAAAGGCAATGTGACGATGAAGTCAACCCAAGAAAGTATTAAATACTGAGGGATATGGTACTCGAGGTCATCCAAACTCTTGAACGTGGGACTCATCATCACATTCATAATCCAAAGACAACCATTGCTCAATAATTCAAAGGTTGTCAGTGCATGCCCCAACATATTTAGTACTTGCTCGAGTTCACCCATAAATGATCGAACAATTGGAAAACTCTAGTCATTATAAAACCAGACAACAACTAAGAAGAAATAAATATTCATTATGTTCGGTGCATTAAACACATTATAACCGTTACACGCACGAATATAAACGATTGTAATGTGTCTGGTGCACAACGGGACCGGGCACAACTTATATTTATTCTGTATGAATGGCCCACAAAGACCATGATTGGACACTTGATTATCCGAAACTAATTAGAAGTGCCACAAATTTTTTTTTCACTCTTCACAGTCCACGCGGTGTCTCTCTCTCTCTTATCGGGTCAAAGACCCATGATATTTCTTAGGATGCTTCACTCGTGCTCGTTGTATGAAACTCGGTACTTTTTCTCAAGTCTCATATATATATATATATATATATATAAAATATATATACGCGCAAGTGTGTATAATATATATACCGTGACAATAGAAACGCACCTATACGTGTAAGTGTGTGTAGATGATGGAGTCGTTCACGGAGTCTGATCTGACGTCGTTTTGGTCCTATCCTTCTCCTTCATCCTCTGTATCGGCGTCGAACACCACCCCCGAGACCTCCGAAAGCACAAACCAATCAACGCCGTCCGTTTCGCGGTTCAAACCAAAGACCCTTCAAGAGCGCCTTCAAGATCTGGTCGAAGGGGCCACCCCCGAGACCTCCGAAAGCACAAACCAATCAACGCCGTCCGTTTCGCGGTTCAAACCAAAGACCCTTCAAGAGCGCCTTCAAGATCTGGTCGAAGGGGCTCGGGAGAATTGGACCTACGCGATCTTCTGGCAATCCTCCGTTCTCGATTACTCTGCCTCATCCATTCTGACTTGGGGCGATGGGTACTATGAAGGCGAGGAAAATCCCAAAACGGCGTCGTCGTTCTCGCTCTCGTCGGCGAGGGAGCAAGAGCACCGGAAAAAGGTACTCCTTGAGCTCAATTCCCTCATAAACGGTTCGTCTCCTTCGCCGGACGAAGTCGAAGATGTAACCGATGCAGAGTGGTTCTTCCTGGTGTCGATGACTGAGTCGTTTGCCAATGGGAGTGGTCTTCCGGGTCGGGCTTTCTTCAATTGGGCTCCGATTTGGGTCGCCGGAGCCGAGAGACTCGCCACCTCATCCTGCGAGCGAGCTCGGCAGGGATGGGTGTTTGGGATACAGACCATGGTGTGTGTACCTTGTGCCAATGGTGTATTGGAGTTGGGTTCCACGGACTTGGTGGTTCAGTCCTTGGATATGATTAACATGGCTAGGGCTTTTGTTTAATTTCAATTGAATAATAATAGCTTGTTTTCATATCAAAATTTGGAATGCATCACATTTAGATTTTAACTTAAATTTCGGTAATGCAGACTTTGTATAAAATTTGAAGTTTGCTTAAGTTGCGGATTTTAATAACACCCTCTCTTTTCACTCTGTATTAACCCGTAACATCTCTTATTATGGAAATAAATAAATAAAAATAAGAGTAGGGATATTTATACCAAAAATTATATCAATTATAATTAAATGAAGAGTTTTATTTTTTTTTTTATTGTATAATTGATCAATTAAAAAAATAGGGCTATTAATTCACTATAACTCTATTTGGTACAAGAATTATTTTTCTAAAAAAATTGTTATTTGGTATATGTATATATAAATTTAAAATTTTGTACTAAATTGTTCCATAATCGTTAATTTTGATTCATTTTTTATTATTTTGTAAAAACTTCAAAATATTTTTAATAATTTTTATGCATATAACTAAATTTTTTTATTATTTTACTTTAAGCATTTTAGATATTTTAATATTCAAATTGAAAAAATGTGGTTAGATGCTCAATTTGAAAAAATGTAGTATGGTTGTTTGAAGAGTCATATTGCATTCATTTTTGAAGAGTCATATTGCATTCATGATATATATCTCAATACTGCTTTTAAAAATAAATTTTAAATTATTTTTAACAATTATATTATAATATTATTGTTAAAAAAATTACCTTTCAGAAAATATCACGTTCGGGTAGACACACAATAGGGTACAAATAACACTCTTTTTGAAGCATCCTTGCTTCTTAGGTTTTAGGCTTACCAACCCGGCTCACCAACATTATTCATATAATAATATGAAATTCATCACATTTAAAATTTAATTGTATTAATTTTGAAGATTCGAGGATTGCATAATTTTTATGGCAATAGAGTTAGTTTCTCTAAATTATTATTGGCCTTTTATTTTTACTTACTTCGTTGTTGTTTCTGAACAACATTACCTACACATAGGCTGTCAATTGGGCCGGACTCAGCAGAGCCGATGACTCAAGCTCAGTCCAAATAACACTTTCTGGGGCCAAGCCCTAGTTCAAAACTGATTCGAGCTTGATTTTATGGGCCCAAATTTAACCATCACGAGGATTTAAAAAATCAGAACCAAATTATTCAAATCAAATATCTCACTTGGTATTACCTAGGTTATGAATTGAAAACCTCAAATTTGGGCTTTCATTTCATTTCGGCCCACTTCAACTACTACTAGGTAATAGGTAGTGCTAGCAACTTAGCCCATATATACCTAAACACTTTCTCATCATATAAAAGACTGGATCTCGCTTTGATACTAACTGTAATGGATTAGAATATTTTGCGATCTAACAAAAAACTTAAATTATTAGGTAACGCTAACACCCAACATATATACCCAATCAGGAATCATTTTCCAATTCCAATCCAATCCACTAGAATATTGAGCTCGGATCCTCTGCTGTAAAATTTTGCAGTCTAACAAAAAAACTTGAGGGACTGTTTGGCTAATGCTTTTGTTTCGTATTTTTTACTTTTGCTAGTGTACTTTAGTAAAGCAAAAGCACGAAACATGTTTAATAACGTTTGCTGTCATTTGAATAATACTGAAGCGCTTCCAAAATTGAAGCTAAAATCAGAAATATCAAAATTATGTTTTTGTTTGCTTTCGCATTGTAGCAAAGCACTATTTGAAAAAAAAAAAATCTAATTAAATTTCTTAACTAACCATTCAGAATTTCAAACTTGCAACACTTTTTACCGAACATGCTCTCATGTTTTTGCTTTCAAAATTTTGAAACAAATTTACGTCATCAAAACAATTTCAAAATAGTGTTGAATACACTTTAAAGTAAAAATATTAATTTTACTTTAATCAAAACAAAATTACAAAACAACTATCATGGTCAATAAGAATCTTAATTATTTTTCTTTCCCTATCGTAGAACAAATACAAAGAATCAGCCTTTTCAGGTTTTCACCGAGGTGTAACTTTCAACAAGTTAAACTTACAGGACTTTGAGGTTAATGATTTATTGTGGGAAAAAAAATGAAGTTAAATGATTTGGATCTGATAAAGGGCAACAGCGATACATTGTATGTGGGTCCCACAAGATGTGACAAATTTAGAAAGAGGGAGCACATACATTGCACCTTAAGTGGTCAAGAATACATTGCATCTTGTGTTCACCTGTCACTTATCACTCCCCCTTTGTCATGATGTTATTCACCATCCACTAGGCACTACCATTGTGCCACTTAGTCCACAATGACAGGAAATTTGGAATGTTTTGTTTTAGAGTGTTTTAGTGAGAAATTACTTCACGTGGCACAATGCAACTATCAAACCCCCAAATGTATCTGCTCTAGATAGATTGTGGTTGGGCTCTACCAATATTAAACCAAATAATTCTCAGCCTTCCTTTAGTTTTTCCTTTTATCCGATTTATTTAGGTATACAGGTATGATTTGATATAATTTTTGATGAAATTAAAATTGAAATTAAAATTAAAATCGAATTGAATTGAACTAGTTTTACGTTTTCGATTTCGATTCTTGCTTCTTTTATTTTATTTTTTTTAATAATATATTATCTAAGGCAATACCTTAAGCCAAAACAAGCATCAATATGAATATATATATATTGATAAATATAGGCATATGTATTATTATTAAAATAATTTCAGTTCTTAATGGTTCCGGTTTTAGAGTCCAGAACTCAACGGTTCCAATATTTGGAATCGAACCTGGAACCGAAACCGTTAGAAATTGAAACCGAAGCACCAGTTCCGATTCCTAACGGTTCTACCAGTTCTTTGTGCACCCCCAATCCTAATAATTTCAGTGGTGTTAATGTTTGTAAAAAAAGAAGAAAAAACAAAATAAAGAAACAGATACACTTCATCCGTCTTATATTAGTTATCCATTTTTTGATTTATATGTTTTTAAGGGGAATATGAAATTAATGTATTGTCTTTTTTTAAAATTATCAATTTATTTTTTAAAATTTACTATGACTTTTTAAATGAAATAATTAATTTGAAACATCTTAAGATATGAAGATGGACTATTAATATGGAACAGATGGAATAATATTTTTTCTACATTCAACAACCTAAACAAATCATTTTTCTCTGTTTAAGCAAACTAGGTTCATTTATTAACTTAGAATCCAATTCTTAGTCTTTTCAATTATAGGTTTAGATTCAACCCCCATGCTTTTCATTTAGTTAGTGTGTCACAAGATACGAATGCCAATTTAACTCCATTCCGATTGGGACCCACCCTAACTTGTCGTTTTGTTAATTGGTTGCATTCTAGTGAGGTTAAGTGGAGATTTGAGAAAGAGAGTCAAAAATCATACACAATCAATTTCTGTCGTTCGTTTTCTATAATGGTTTAAATTTTAAACTACAAATATAACAAATCGGTGATTATAATTTGCTAAGTACTTCATTATTTTTATCATCAATTAATTATATTATGGTGTAACAAAAAAGACTTTTATATATTTTAATACTTTATTATATATGTCATTAACCAATAATATAATGTCACGTAAATAAAAATATTTTATTTTAATATATTATTATTTGTATTATTAACCAATTATATTATGTCACATAAATAAAAATATTTTATTTTTTAATACATAACAGTATTTAATAAGTCCGAATCCTTTACATATATTTAAAAATGTAGGAACATAATAGGAAATTAGCGATACGTCACTCTCCTGTTATAAAAAAACAACTTAAAGATATATGTTTTGAGGTTTCCAACATTAATATAAAATCCCGCCGCTTTTACTGAAATTCCTAATTGTTGTCACCACCCACCATATCTACTAGGTATAATACAAACCTTTTTAGAAAAAAAAATGTTTTACATAGTCATTCTACAACTCTGGACATGTTTTAGACATTTATTGTGAGATCTCATTCATTCATGGACGAGTTTATGGACTCCTCTAGTGACTATAGCAGTGTTCTTGACCCTCACGTGCTTGGTGAATAATGTTTTGTTTTATATCGTGTTAAAACACTTTATAAATAATAATTTAAAATTAAAACATTAATTTAGTGTTTTAAAACATTTTCACACTGTATCAATGGCGAATAATAGTATCAAAAAATAATTTTTTTTTTTTTTTGAAAGACTCTAAAATGTATTATATTTTTCAAACTTATAACATATTTTTACCAAATAGATTTTTATATTTTTACTCCCAAAAATCTTGTAATATATAAATATTACTAAACATATTTCTAATTATTATTTAAAATATTATGCAACAATAACATTATTTTTATTTTGAATTAAAATAAAAACCCAAAACGTTTTCGGTTACCAAACGTACCTAAACAAATGGATATACTTGAAACAAAAATGCAATTTGAGCGGATTCGACTCAAACAAACACAACGCGTGAGTTTTTACGACAAAAGTTCGGAACTATGTCTAATGGTGTCGAATGCAGTACAGTGGTGGACAATTTTCATCTTTCTCACGCGCTCGCGCACGCGTGCCCGCACGCGCGTATAATGTGAATAGTCAAATGCAGTATTCGCCAGTGCAACATTACAGGTGTGTAACATCACTCTCAACAAGATGGCGCGTAGAAAATGGAGGTATGAATCACGTGCTAGCAACCAGCCCATGTAGGAATGGCCCACAAAGACCATGATTGGCACTTCATAGTATCCGAAAACTAGTTAAGAGTGTCATCAACCTTTTTCTCACTACTCGTCACGGTCCACGCGTTGCCACTGTCCCATTTTTGGAGCGTCAAAAGGCCCACCGAGTTAAGCAAAGTACCATACTCTTTACTACACAAATATACATCATAGAGTGACAAAAGTACGCGGTGTGTGTCCTCTTGTTCTTTCTTGGGAGGCTCGGTTCATGCGTGTTGTTCTCAAACTCGGTACTCTTTGTTATTGTGTGCATTGTGTGTGACGCACTATGTGACCTCTCTCATTGTCCACGTGGGCATGCTTAATCCGACTCTGGTTTCGATTATATAGTTTCAATCAATCACAAACAATCGTGATTATATAGTTATTCATGATTGATCGCCTAATGATTTCTCTTATTTCACCTCTAGATCTTTCATTAGTCAAAGAAAATGCATCTCTCACGATCTTTAATATAGTCACCGTTGATGTGGAGCAGTAATAAATTGACATGTGATTTTTAATTATCAAATCAATGATGTGAATAAATATTTAATAACCAAATCAGATATAGTGATTTGATTACTATTTATGATTTGGTAATAAAAATAAGATGTGTCCAA